CCTGGGTTCCGAGGAGACAAAGGAGATATTGGCTTCACGGGTCCCAGGGGCCTCAAGGTGAGCCAAGATGGCCTGCTGTTGGAGAATAAGAGGCCTAGGTTCAGATTTGGGAGCCCAGGGGTGTTAGTTCAGGTTGGGAATGTCTAAAACCAGTAGTAGGAGCTGATTTTAAGCTCAAAGATTCAAGGTAAAATAGAAGTAGCCCTTTTTAAAATTTTTGGACCCAGGCTCTTGGGTAGCCCAGGCTAGCTTTAAACTTATTATGTAGCCAAGCCTGGACTTGAACTCCTGACCCTCCTGCTTCTACCTCCCAAGTGCTAGGATTACACATGTGTGCCATCACATCTGACTGAGAAGTTATCTTTTTATCTGCTTCCCTACCTTAGGGTGAGAGGGGAATAAAGGGAGCCTGTGGCCGTGATGGAGAAAAAGGAGATAAGGTAAAGATGCACTGGGAGATTCTGGGGCTGTGGGGCTGATGCAGAGGCCATGAGGGCTGGTGTGGGGCTGATGCGGGAGTTCACGGGGACTGGGGCAGGAGTCGTGGATGTGAGATTGTGAAGGCTCATGTGGATAGGCTGTGGGTGCTGAGCCCCAAGACTCACTCCTCTTCCTGATACCTCCAGGGAGAAGCTGGTTTTCCTGGTCGCCCTGGGTTGGCAGGAAAGAAAGGAGACATGGTGAGTGTCAGGGTACATCCTAAATGAAGAGGGGCAGTTGACAAGAGAGCCATCCTCACAAGTTCTTTTCCTCTAGGGCGAGCCTGGTATGCCGGGTCAGTCTGGGGCTCCTGGGAAAGAGGGCCTGATCGGTCCCAAGGTACAGGGGCTCTTGAAAATAGACATGATGGGGATGGAGTCAGATAAGTCAAAGAAAGTCATAATAGAGTCAAGGAAGGCTGTGGCTTTGGGGGATCGTGGGGCTGATTTTGAGATTCCAGGAGAGGTTTGGGGTCACGGCAGAGAGTTAGTATGAAAAGGTAGGAGGTGAAGGAGGGGGACATGTTGCACCAGGGCAGGGCTTGGGTGGAGTTGGAGTCATGGAATCATAGCAGACACAGTAACAGATGCTTGGATCGTACACTGTGGGGGGCATTGGGCCAGGAGACTCACAAAGCTCAAGGATGTACAAGAGCAGAACGATGTCAGGGCTGAGTATTTTTCTGCTTCTTCTGTTTCCAGGGTGACAGAGGCTTTGATGGGCAGTCAGGACCCAAGGGTGACCAAGGCGAGAAAGGGGAGAGGGTAAGTTGAGGTCAGGGTTTGTGGTCTGGGGGGAGCATTGTCTCTGGTAGTGGTTTTGTCTTGAAGGGGTTTTAAACACCAACCCTTCTCCATCTTTCCACAGGGGCCTCCAGGAGTTGGGGGCTTCCCAGGTCCCAGAGGAAATGATGGCTCTAGTGGTCCCCCAGGGCCACCTGGTGGTGTTGGTCCCAAGGGACCTGAAGGGCTTCAGGGTCAGAAGGTAAGGGTTTCCAACCATGATGTACATAGATCAGGCTAGCCTCAAATTCAGAATTCTGCTTGCCTCCCAGATGCTGGGATTAAAGGCTTGCACCTCCATGTCTGCTGCCATTTTTTTTAAAGTTTATTTTTTATTCTGTGCGTATGAATATTTTGCCTGAAAGTATGTCTTTGTACCATGTGTGTGTCTGGTGCCTAAGAAGGCCAGAAAAGGGATCAGATCTCTCAGAACTGGAGTTACAGATGATTGTGAGCCACCACATGGGCGCTGGGAACCAAGCCTGTGTTCTCTATAAGAATATCAAGTGTCGTAACTGCTGAGCCATCTGTCCAGCCTGTGCTGAGGATTAAACCCAGAGCCTTACTTACAATCAAGTGCTGTACTGCTGAGCCACACTCCCTGCCTTTCCTGTCTCTCTAAATCGGGGATCTACTGTGGTCTTTCACTTGCCTGTATTCTGACCCAAACTGTCACTGACCCTGCCTACTTGGTCCTTGTGTCTGACAGGGTGAGCGAGGTCCCCCTGGAGAGAGTGTGGTGGGGGCTCCTGGTGCTCCTGGAACCCCTGGTGAGAGAGGGGAGCAGGTGAGTGAGGATACCTCAGCTTGGAGTCAGAGATTAGCTTCATCTCTGATGTCTGAGATCTGTCATGGTCACATTTGTCACACATAGGGGCGACCAGGACCTGCTGGCCCCCGTGGGGAGAAGGGTGAAGCTGCACTGACTGTGAGTTTAGCCTGGATGGGTTGGGGTGCCCAGAACCCTGACCCCTGAGTCCCAGGGCTCTTGACTTGATGACTTGTCTTTGATTCCTGCATTATGAGACCCATGATTCATGGGTTCTTCAGAGACCTTGTGGTCTTGTGTTCCCAGGAGGATGACATTCGGGGCTTTGTGCGTCAGGAGATGAGTCAGCATTGTGGTGAGTGGGCCTAGTGTGGAGTCTCCTGCCCTAATTGCATCCCAGGACACCTAGATGGGGCCCGGCAAGTCCCCAGAACTTAGAGGGCAAGCAGAGATCAACGGCTATGAAACACAGATGTTATAGGATAAACATGCTAACAGGACCTCCTTAATGGAGAGAGAGACAGAGAGAGGGAGAGACAGAGAGGTGTGGGCAGCTGCACAGTGTTCTGATGACTATCTGTGTGGAGGGGTAGTGTAAGGAGCAGAGCTGGTCCCAGCTGTAACACAGGAGGGGGAGGGATGGTCCTGGGGGCCTGCTTCTTCCTGTCATGACTACTTTCATCTCTTTGCCTCCTGACCCTGGCTGCCTTTGGCCTTTGCTTCCCTGGTCTATTCCCAGCTTCTCGCCCTGATGGTTCTCCTCTATGCTCCTTCCTGTCTTTCCCCTTCCTTCCTCCTCTTCCCCTCTCACCTGTTCTCCCTCTTCTTCCTCCTCTGTCTCTCATGGGCTGGCTATCTCTCTGTATATCTTAGCCCCTATGCATGTGCCTTTTGTCTGTTTCTCTTTCCCCATCTTCCTGCCTTTGTGTCTTGTTCTCCATTTCTCGTGGTCTCATTATACCTTTTCTGTCACTTCCAGCCTGCCAGGGCCAGTTTATTGCGTCCGGATCACGTGAGTAGCTTTCTGTATCTAGAACTTTCTTCATCCAAGGCACCAAAATGCCTATCATTTGGATCTTTTTAGCAGGGGTGTGACTAGGGTGGCTGACCATGATAATCAAGGATGTCGCCACCTGCCCTGTGCTTTAGGACCCCTACCCGGTTATGCTGCAGACACAGCTGGCCCCCAGCGCCACCATGTCCCTGTGCTTCGAGTCTCTCACACAGAGGTGGAAGGTGAGGCTGACAGTCCATGGAGCATGTACAGGTTGGGTATAGATATGCATATGGGTATTTGTCAGGGTACATGGTATGTATATAGAGTCTACACACAGGAAACACACACACATTTCTGTACATGGGGGAGATGGGTGTTGTTCATTCTGTCCCAGAACTAGCAGGGGTTTCCTCACAGCACACCCCACCTTGCCTGCAGGCCAGGTGCCCCCTGAAGATGATGATGACTTCTCTGAGTACTCTGTGTATTCTGTGGAGGACTACCAGGACCCTGAAGTTCCATGGGATGCTGATGCTGAGACTAAGGGCTGGGACCATCGAGGTTCAGGTAGTGCCAAACAGAGCTCATCCTACCGCTGATCTTTTGCTGATTTTGAATTCCTCTGATTCCCACTATTCCCGGTGACCTGACCACTGCTGATCCTAGATCTCTGCTCCCTACCCCTGGACGAGGGCTCCTGTACTGCATATACCCTGCGCTGGTACCATCGAGCTGTGCCTGGTGGCACAGCCTGTCATCCCTTTGTCTACGGTGGCTGCGGAGGGAATGCCAATCGTTTTGGAACCCGTGATGCGTGTGAGCGCCGCTGCCCACCCCAAGGGGTCCACAACCAGAAAACAGGTATGGGCCTAAGATGCTCTCAGTGGAGGCTGCATCTGCATGTGTTAATGCTTGGCCAAGAAGTTCCCTGAGACTAGGGGACCTGGAGCAAATCCCAGATCCCAAGACTGGCTACCTATCTCCCCAGCTGAGGAGCCTGCATGGTCCCTCCCATATCCCTTTTTGCTAAGGGTCCCTCTTGAGTCAGAGCATACGCTCCATCCCTCACAGATGCTTTAGCATGTTTCTGTGCAGACTTCAAGTTGGGAAAGAAGTCAGAGGGCTGAATGTTTTCTGATGTGTTCCACACAGGTGCTGCCTAGGGCCGAGGCCCTGACGATGCACCAGCAGTCCCTGGAGGTGGCAGGGTCTCAGCCTGGTCCTGCTGTTCTCCATTTGGTGCTAGAGTCGTGTGTGTACATGAGCGTGTGTTCGTGTCCGTGTCCACTATTTCAGTGACTTGGTTCTGTGGGTCTAGCCTTCCCCCCTGTGGACAGATCCCCATTGTGGTGCCCGCTTTCCTGGCAGATGACTCACTGTTGGGGGTGGTTGTGGGCAGTGAATGGATGTGACTGGTGTCCAACCTGCCCCTTGACCCAAGGCTGTGATACCATGGTGGTGATGGGAGGGGAGGGGGCCATTAAAGCTGCTGTTTTAAAAGGCCTTTGTTGTTGATTGTTTGGGTGACATGGGGGTGTCAGGAGGCAAACTTCCTTTGGGGGAAGGGGTAGTGAGCATTACATGGTATAGAGTCCTCACGCCTGGCCCTTGTTATTTTTCTGTGTTCTTAGTCCCCCTAACTTGTCTCCTCAAAAGAAACAAATAGGGTGAGGGCAAAGGAGGTGTCCTAGCTCCTTAGGAGGGGATGAGTCATAGGTACGGAGCTGCCTCATGCCAGGAAACATGCCCTAGCTCCTACCCCAGGAGGCTAAGGGAGATAAATGGGCCTTGAAGTGGAGTAAAGGGTCAGCCGCAGAACTGTTGCCTGGCCCTAGCCCCAGCAGCCCCAGCCATCTCAGCCTGCCCCTGAGGACGTTGGCATAGCGGTATGAGTGTCCTTGAGTCGGGATGGGAAGGGTCTGGGTTGATAGGGCCTGGGGTTTGGATGGACGGAGATGCCTGGACCTGAGAAGCTCCTGGGTCTCGGCTCACCCTGCTTCACTTGCTGCCCTGTGTCCCCATTGCTCTCCTTCCTCAAGTAGCTGTGTGCTCAGAACCTGTCTCTGTTTTGTCACTCTGAGGTTTTCTGTTTCTGAGTCTTTCGTTCCCTCTAGCTGTCTCCTGGGTGGCTGGTCTCTTCCTGCCTTGTCTCTTTTCATGTCTTCCCCTCTCTTGCTTTGTCCCCATCCCATTTACCTTCCTCTTCCTCTTCTGCTCCTCCCCCTGAATTTGAGTTTGGCTTCAAACTCAGATCCTGCCTCAGCCTCCCAACTGTTGGGATTATAGACAGACACCACCCTGCCTTAGTACACATTTTCATTCCTTCTGTCTAGCTCCTGTCTCTGGTCCTGTTTGACTCTCTTCTTTCTCTGACTTTGTCTCTGTCTCTGTCCCTGGCGTGCCCTCTGTAACCTCTCCGACCCCTCTTTGCCTCTTGCTTCTAGCAGTCTGTCTCCTTCCAATGAACTACAGCTGCCGAGCCTGGACCCTGAGCCTGTTTTCTCCTTGCAGCCTTACCACATGATGATCAGGTGGACACTGGTGGTCCTGATGGTCCTGATGTTGGATAGGATCCTGTTTGTCTCCGGAACCCCTATCCCCACCTTCCAGCTCCTCCCTCAGAACTATCTGGAGACAACTCCCAGCTCTGTGGCACCAGAGAGCCCCTCAGGTAGCACCACAGGACCCTCAGCTTCCTGGAGCAACTCTAAAGCCAGCACTTACCTGAACACCCGTGTCATACTCTCCCTGGATGTCCCCATTGGCCTCCTGCGGATCTTACTGGAACAGGCTCGGAACAAGGCTGCCAGGAATCAGGCTGCCACTAATGCCCAAATACTAGCCAGTGTTGGCCGCCGCTGAGACTGAGAAAGGGGGTCATAAAGATGGGGTCACCCTGCATGAGAAGTTCTGGAGGACAACAACAAAGCTGGACAGTACTACATCTAAGCCAAGCACATACCCAGAGATCACCATAGTGGACCACTGCCATAGCTTACAAGTGTCTACATTGTCTTTAGACAACTTGACCATCCATGTCTTGCCATGCTTCTGTGCCCCTCACCCTCCTCACACTTAATATGTTTGGGCATCTTGAACACGAGCATGTATGTTCGATATGTAGAATCTTGTCATGCCTAGCTGTGTCTGGCAGTCACAGAGCATCTACATGCCACCATGTGAGCTCCATCATTAACTGTAAAAGAGAGTCAACACAGCCCCCCCATGATGCACCTGAGAGCTATGCGGGGCCCACAGGCCTGGGCTCCCATCTGAGGCTACTGCACCAGAGAGTGCTGGAGAAGGTCATTTGCTTGTTTTGTGGTTTTGTTTTTGTATTTAAAGACAATCTTGGGCTGGAGAGATGGCTCAGCGGTTATGAGCCCTGGTTGCTCTTCCAGAGGTCCTGAGTTCAATTCCCAACAACCACATGGTTGCTTACAACTATCTGTAAGGGGATCTGATGCCCTCTTCTGGCCTGTGGGTGTATATGCAGCAGAGCGCTCAGACAATAAATAAATTAAAAAAAAAAAAAAAAGACAGTTTTGCAATGGAATCCTTGCATGTCCTAGAACTTGCTAATAGCAATCCTTCTGCATCAGTCTCCTGGGTGTTCATGTTACAAGCATGTGTCATCACATCTGATGACATGCTTGTTTTGTGCTCTGTTAGGTAGCATCCTACTTAGATGTGGTTATCAGAGACATCCCAGGCACTGGTACAGGTGACCACATGTGAACGTGGGAAACCTAACCCTGGTGGTTTTGCCGTGTGTGTGTGTGTGTGTGTGTGTGTGTGATAACACACAGCCAAGCATTGTCTAGTCACACCTCAGCAGCCTACCAGTTGCCTAGACATACATGGCTCAGGAGGGAGTGGATACTGCTGGGGATCCAAGCCCACACGATGCTTTCCTTGATGGACTGTCCTAAGCAAAGCTGTTGACATTTTTCGAGCTCCAACTGTGAAGCAGAGTGATGCCACCAAGCATCTCGTAGCACTGACACGGTGGACATGAAAGCTGTGGTTGTGGAGGTACTCAATAAATGTCAGATGACTGAAGGGATAGGATGCACCCGAATCACCCAGTCATGTGCAGCCGGGCAGTGACACATGAGGGCTGAGTCACACCTGGCTTCCCTGCCCTTCCACTCACCTACCCTCCCTCCTCCCCTCTGACCTGCTCACTGTGAAAGAGCAGGCTTCACCTTTACATCCCAGCTGGGCTGGTGCTGAAACTGACATTCTGGGGAGAGTGATCCTATTTGCCTGTGCTTGAGGCAAGGGCTCTCAGTGGTGTAGACAACTCAAGAAGTAAAAAAGACCGGAAGCTGAGAGGTATGAACTGCTCTGACTGGGAAAAAGCACTGCTGGTCTAATGGCTCGGAGTACAGAGTGCAGCTGCTTGCCTGGATGGTGGGGGCCTGGCAACCTCACAGAGCAAAGCAGCCCCGGGAGGGCGGGTCTAGGACGGTTGGAGAGGCGGGGCCGGTTTTCCTCTGAGCCAGCGGATTGGGGGTGGAGGGGAACAGGGGCGGGGTTTCCTTACCCTTCCCGAGCCGCGGGAGGTGGGGGGGGGGACGAGGGAGGGGGCGGCGGCCCTGGCTAGTTCGGTTGCAGGATGGACAGATGGACATTAGGAGGCACCTCTCTAACCGACCCTTGGCGGGAGAGCCACGGCCAGGGTAGGCATTGGGTAGCATGGGGAGGGTGGGAATTGGGAAAAGACCTGGGTGTAGTGGAGATGGTGTTGGAGGGAACATAAGGGTGTTGGGGGGGTCTCTCAAAGTACTCTGAGAGGGCATCAATCTGTCAGTGACCTGAAGAAGAGGGAAAACTGGGGCCTTGTAGGAAGAGGGGCCTGCACCAAGGTGGGATGTCTATAAATAGTGTCTTCCTTTAGCCAAGGAGGAGAGCTAGCCAGCTGGAGCTGCCTGAGGCATTCCCCACCATGTCCCTTGCTAGTCTCTAAGGGGTCTTGTTCATCGTGGCCACCCAGTTTGAGAAGTTTTTTGTTTTGTTTTGTTTATAGATCTGCCTTGGTCTTTAAGGCTCTATTTCTAGGGCACCCACTGTGTGTTCTATGCTGGTCTTGAGTTTCTTTACACACCTACTATGTACTTTCTTTTTCATAAGCCTCTCTGAGCTGTTTCTTTGCACCTTTTCTAGCTTTAAGTCACTTGTAACACTTACTGTGTGCCCTGTACCAGGCTGGATCAGGAAATAAAACAGATCAGGGTTCACAGGCTGCCACTCATATGGCTGCATACCCCTAAATTAGAACCTCACACTGTGAACCCTAGACCCAGAGGGATGCTGGGGACAGTTCTTAGAGATAGCTAGAGGAAGCTAGTATTCCTGGGAACTGTCACCACCTAGCAAAGCAGCATCTGGTCAGGGAATGAAGAGGAAGAGAAGGAGGAGGCCAGCAGGCCCTGGACAGTATTTTGTTCATGTGTGTATGTATGCCTGGGTCCAGGACTAGTCAATATCCATGCATCTGTGTTTGAGCATGTTCATGTGCATTTGTGTGGCAGGGCTGAGGCCCCTGGATCTTTACCTTGTACATGGTGGCTTATTGGTACAGCCAGGACTAGGCAGAAGAGACAGAGAGTAGGAAGAGTTTGACCCTTGAGAACTGAGGGTCAAGGACTTTGATCATATGTTTTCTACTAAGAGGTCCAGTGGTCAGTACATATAGTACCCAGAGAGCCAGCCAGGACCAGACCAGTTCATGGCAGAGAAGGCCTGAGCTAGCTATGTTCATACCTGAGTGCACACTAGCATCCCATCACTGCCTGTGCATGGGACGGGATAACTGGTATACTTTGAGATGCCCTCAAGACAGAATAGCCATGAGGGCTTTCTGAACATGAGACAGTAAAGTGAGATGTAGGAGGCGAAGCCATGAGGGCTGCGAGATGAGCCTGTGGGCTGGCTCTGTTATCCTGACTCCTCCCTGCTCCCATCCTCAGTTTCTTACCTAAGAAATGAGGCCATGGGAAGGGAGATGGGAAATAGGTCCTCAGAACAGATGTAGACCCTGGCATTAGGAAGGTTGCCTGGACTCCTGATGTTGACCTATGACTTCCTAGCATATGGACTTGAGAAGGCGTGTCTGGGTCAGCTAGGGGTGAGCTCAGAGGAGTGGGAGGTATAGAGCTACATTTCCTGAAACCAGGCTCAGACTGGGTGTGGAGATGGCTCTGCCCTGGCTGTCAGCTCTTGAGTAACAGCCAGGAGTTCTGGGGAAGAGGTTGCATAGGACTGATGAGGTGCTAGGTACCCATGTGTGTTTACACTGGGAGCCTTGTGGGGAGTGACAATGGCTTCTCTAGCTGTGGTCTCAAGATGACCTTGGCCATGGCCAGGACACAAACAGGAACAGAATGAGTGGCTTTGGAGAAGGAGGTGTTGCTGATGATCACAGGAGGAACCCAGTGGGTGTGCTCCAAGCGGCTCACTTCCCTCTGGGAATGGAGGGAGGATTCTCCAACAGGCAAGGAGGTTAAGAGGAAATGAGTATCTGCTTGCAGTAGGGTAGTTCCCCAAACAGTCAGCCAGAGCTGGGACCAGGGAGGCCCCAAATGGGCTTCTGAATTTTATTTCCTGGTGCAGTGGTTAAGATATCTTTGTTACAGTCATTCTGTCTTTGCCAAACTCTGAAGAGTTGGTTTGAGACTTGGTGAACTGACCCAAAGCAGAGATATGAGAGGAAGGGATGTTGGGCCAACTGTGAATGAGGTCAGCCTTGTTTTTCATGTCCCTAGCTTCTGGCTGGGCATATGTGAGGCAGGAAACCTGCCAGGAGTTTGGTGGAGGGCATCACTAGACTGTAGTGAGATCAAGATTCAAACCCTGTTGCTGGGGCCAGCACAGAAAATATACAGTTTGGAGAGGCGGGGCTGGACAGAAAAAAAGAGACCTGAGCTCTCTGGAGACTGGTGGAGGTCAAATGCAGAAGAGTGGCTTCCCCATATTGGCCCTCACTGGCATCTAAGGGGTCATGCTCACTGGGGGTTACCCAGCTTGAGAACTCTTTCATATGGCACCACTTTAACCCTTAAGCCTGAGCTGCCAGGCCTGGCCCTGGGCTCTTGCCCCAGTACATTTTCAAAGGCAGAGAGGGAGGTAATAGAATGAATGAGAAGGCCTACGTGTTTTTAAACAGATTTCTGAGACTGACACATTTAATCTGCACCTCAATCTTGTAAAATTGATGACGTCTGCATCTCATTTTCCTGATGAAGAGACAGAAGTTCATAAAAAATAAATAAATTCATTATTAAAACACTAATTGGGGCTGGGAGTGTAGCTTGCCTAGCATACACAAAGCCCTAGGTTCGATTCTCTGTCTAAACACTGTGTGTGGAAACAGTGGAACTTAGAAGGTAAAAGCAGGATGATTTGAAGTTCAAGGTTACCCTTATTACATTACATTGAGTTCCAGGGCAGCCTGGCTACATGAAAACCTGCCTTTCTCCCCCAAAAGAAGAAAAAAAATCAAACAGCGGCAAAATTATAATTGGTAAACTATAAATCCTGGGAAGAAAATCAAAATACTGCTTAGTGAGTCCACAAATAGCTTGTTCATATATTTAGCCCAAGTTCCCCAGCAGCCATGCCAAAACAGGGTCGATTTTGAGATGTATTCTGTGTTTATGTCCCTAAGAAAAGGGAACTTTTTCTGCGTGGTTGTATAAGTTATTCTTGTGGACCTGGGAAGTTTTGAGGGTAAAAGCAGCTGAGAAGGACCGTTGAAGGTCCAGGAGGGCTGCCAGGACAGCAGGTCAGTCATTCGAGCCATTCAGGGACAACTGCCAAGCTGGTCTAGACTATTCGGCTCTAGGGATCACGCAGGCCCCGCCCAGCCTCGTCGTACCCTTCTCCAGGCGACTGTGAGGTCACACTTCTCAGGTAGTAGAAGCTACACAAGCTTTGAGCCCGGCCTGCAGCTCCCTGGGCGGGACCATGAGTGGGGCCTATGCAAATGAGAACAATCTGGTTGAGTGCGGTAAACTTCACATCCGGGGCCGGGCCTGCATAATCCGGTTGTCGAACGCAGTTGGTATTGAACATGCGCGTTATTAGCTCTGGCCTGAAGGACTGGGCGTGCCTAGTTCAAAAGAGGCCTTAGGAAAATTGGGCATGCGTAGTCGCAGGCCAGTGCCTCTTTAGTTTGGGTGGAGCCTATTAGCACTGGGGCGGGCCTGCGAGAAGATTGACAAGAGTTGGAGCCGCTAGAGGGGGGGCGGGTCCGGAGGGGCGGGACCTCGGGTGGCCCGAGGTGGCCCGGTTGCTGGGTGAGAAGCAGCGCAGTCCGATTCATCCCAGCCCGGGGATGGCGTCCCCACGGGAACTGACCCAGAATCCCCTGAAGAAGATCTGGATGCCGTATAGCAATGGGAGGCCCGCTCTGCATGCCAGCCAGCGTGGTGGTAAGACGGGGTCCGCAAAGAGAGGAGAAGGGAGGTGAACCCGGATGGGTGGGTAGACGGCCTAGACGAGGGTCTCGAGTGGAAAGGCAGTAGACTAGTAGAGAAGAAGGCACAGGTGAGGCTATTGTAACTGATGGGCGGAGTCGGAGACAGGTGAAAGACTGGGAACAGGTGAGCGGGAGTGACCGTGGTGCTGTGACAGTGGCCGGCAGAAGTGTGGTGGAGCAGGAGTGGGAACAGATGTGAGGGGACATCTCAGTCTGTTGGAGACTGGGTCTGGCCACCGTTACCTTGGGAAGGGACTGACCCAAGCTGTTTCCAGTGCCTTCGTACAGGAGAGGACTTCATTCGTGGTCGTGGCTCTTTCTTCTCTCCTGGCCACAGAGTGGGCAAGCCGCTATTTCGGCTGGAAACTGAGTTGTGTAGCTCCAGACAAGGCAGTTGGCTTCTCTGAGCTGAGAACTTTTGAAAGCCTAGCCATGGGTTAGTATTTCTCAGGTGCCCCTTGGTTTTAAAACCAACGTTTTAGAGGAATTTCAGGGGAGTACAGTTGTCAGGACTGAGTCAGTAGGAAAGCACACCATATGGACCTGTCTCTGTGGCCCTGAGTGTGAAGCACCCACTTGAGCTCACGGGTAAATAACTGCATAGGAGGGTCCAACATCAAGGAGCTAAGCTGAAATTCGTGGCTTGCCAAGTGACTTACCTCTTCTGGGATCCTGGGTGTTTTCATCTACTTCCTTGGTTCTTCTGTTTGTCCTTGAATGAGTCTGTAACTTTTTATTGACAGGAAAAAGAAAAAAAATGTTTTATAAGTAACTCAAATATTGTAATGAATTTGCAGCTTGGCAAAGACCTCAGAGAACATCTCGTACAACTGGTGGAGCAGATATGGAGACGAGGCTGCTGTGTGATGTGCCGGGGTCTCTGTGCATTCCTGAAGGCTGCTGTGTGTGTGTGTGTGTGTGTGTGTGTGTGTGTGTGTGTGTGTGATAAGGGAGGGGAGGGTCCTCTAGGCTTCTGTTGCCAAGGCCAGCCTGAGGCCATGACTTTGACCATTACCATAATGAGAGGGGGTGGGGGTGGGGAAGGCGTGTGTATACACAACAGGACTTGGGTCCTGCTAGGAAGGCCATAGTTCATAAGCAGACTGTGTTTCTGTGGGTGGTGGCTCTCACCACAGTATGGGTGCTGGTAGAGCTGTAGCTGTCCAGAGACATCCTGAGTCCTCAGGGGCTGTGGATTTAGCCTGGCAAGCTTCCAAAAGGAAAGATTAAGGCAGAAGCTCCTTGCCAGTCTCTATTAGGACAGTGGTCCAGACAAGGGTGTGGGTGCCTCTGTTACAGAAGGAAGGAGTGAGGACCTGGACTTTGGGGACAGTAATGCTCAAGCCACATCCTGGACCAGCTGTGTGGTCTTGGATAAGGAGCTAACCCTTAGACCCCAACCTAGGATGAGACCATTATCATTTTTGCCTCTAACAAGTGGAAAAGTGGAAGCAAGCCGGGCGTGGTGGTGCAAACCTTTGATCCCAGCATTCAGGAGGCAGAGGCAATAGGATCTCTTTGACTTTGTGGCAGCCAGGTCGACAGAGTGAGTTCCAGGGTAGTCAGGGCTTTCTAGAATGAACCTATCTCAAAAAACAAACAAACAAACAAACAAACCAGAACAAAAAAAGAGGAAAGAAAGAAAAGCAGAAGCAGATCTCATCACGACCAGTCTCTTTTTTGCCTACATCAGAGTGGGGGACTGAGGTGTCAGCTTGAGCCCGCCCCTCGTGTCTGCTCCCAAGGACAGGCCTGTACATCCTTCTCTAAGTGTAGGACTGAATCTTGGCTCTTGTGCCACATGACTGAGGCACATGTCTTTAGTCCCAGGGAGGCAGAGGCAGGTGGATCTCTGAGTTCAAGGCCAGCCTGACAGTGAGTTCCTTGACAACCATGGCTACACAGAGAAAGCCTGTCTCAAAAAAAAAAAAAAAAAAGCCACAAACAAGTGTCCCTCTTGTGTAAGTGGAGGTGCTGGTCAGTGTTAGAGTGTTGGAGTAGTCTGCGTTGTAGACTTACACTTTTCTGGACAGGAGGCTACGTGACTGAAGATGAAGCTTGCAGATGTGTGTCCTAGCCAGGGGTCCCAGAGGTCACAGCACACCCAGTCAGCCCCTCTGAATGCACCTGTGCAGCGTTTTACCCCTTGCACTGTGACCTGGGGCCAGGTTGGAAGACTGCCAGGAAGTAAAGACCCTAGGGCAACGAAGGATAGCCTGACCACAGCACTTTCCAGGGAAGAAAGAAACCGCCTACTTCTAGTCTGGGCTGGTGGTGGGTTTTCTCTTCTCTCTAGTCCCCAGCTCCTCAGGGTATAGGGGCCAGTTGACAAAGCCACATTCTCCAGCCTAGAACACCATAAGCAGTTGATAAAATTTGATACATTTATAAAATCCAGAGCCATGCCAGTGTATCTGGAAGCTCTTAGTCTTACCATCAGAATCCTAGCTTAGACCTTTAGGAGCTCTGAGGGTATGGGACAGGGCATGAGGGACCCCAGTACCATGGCGGGTAGGACATTGTTTTTGAAAATGTAGTAAACTGGGCTAGTGTTGACCTTGTGGATGGTCCTCTTTTGTCTGTCTTGTCTTTCTTTCTTTCTTTTAAAGTTTCCTATATTTACTTATTTTATGTGTTTGAGTATTTGCTTTCATGTATATCTGTGCACTCTGTATGTCCGATGTCTATAGAAATCAGAAGAGGGCACCAGATACTCTGGAACTGGAGTTATGGACCCTTGTGCTCCTCTGGGTGGGTGCTGGGAATCAAACCCTGGTCCTCTGTAAGAGCCAGTGCTTTGTTGTTGAAAGAGAGGGTTTCCTGTGTGGCCCTGACTGGCCTGGAATTCACTCTGTAGACCACCAGCCTATCCTCAAACTCAGAGACCCACCTGCCTCTGCCCCCAGAGTGCTGGGATTAAAGAGACATGTCCTCAACACCAGGGTAAGAACAATCGCTTTTAACTGCTGAGCTATCTCTGCAGCCCCAGACTTGTTTCCCAGTGGCTTCTTTTAGTGACAAAATGGCACAAGGTGTGTGTGACAGGACTTGTTGGGAGTCAACTTCTGTCCCTGAGTGGGACTGTCTTGTGATATTGCTTAATTTTGAGAGTTCTTTCTACCTCAGTCTAGCCAAGATGGAGGGAGCAGGTATAACCAATTCAGTGGGCTACCTGGAATCCACTCCAGGAACTGTGGCTGTGCCTTTGGTGGAAGTGCCTGGAAATAGGTAGGCAAGCATGCAATCTCCATTGCAACACATGTCTCAGGCCTCTGGGCTCCGAGGGCTCTGCAGCCTTTAGTAAATTTATGGAAAAAGGAAGCAGAGAAGGCTGAGTTGACAGGTCTTCTGACTTCCTTCTCTCTGTGTGTGGTGTTATATGCGTTCTGTGTCCTGGATACTAGATGTTGGAGTGTTTGTGGGCCCAAGGCTTGGGTCTGGCTGCATACCACACCTTTTCCCACAGCTCTCAAGTTCTGCAGTGTGCTCCCCCCTGGTTCTGCCCTGTGTATAATTTCTTCCCTCAAGGGACTATCTCCACATCTTGCTGTGGTAGGCAGGGCTGTCATGAATGTTCTTGAACTTTGGTTTGCTTTGATTCTTTGCTGGAAAGCTTATCTGAAGGAGCAGAGGTGATCACCAATTTATTGCCTTGGTTTGTGCCCAGATCCAATCTGCTGCCCTGACTGCCCACCTTGTAGGTTGAGGAACAGGGGCACTGTCACCAGAGACTGTGGGAGGAGGCCCAGGTCTGCTCTAGGAAAATAGATGTTGTGCTGTCCAGTTTTTATGTCAACTTGACACAAGCTATAGTCATCTGAGAAGAGGGAACCTCAATTGAGAAGATGCTTCTGGAAACTCAGGCTGCGGGCAAGCCTGTAGGGCATTTTGTTAATTAGTGATTGATGGGGGAGGCTCAGCCCACTGTGGGCGGGGCCATCCCTGGGCTGGTGGTCCTGAGTGCTCTAAGAAAGCAGGCTGAGTGAGCTATGAGGAGCAAGCCAGTGAACAGCACCCTCTATGGCCTCTGCATCAGCTCTTGCCTCCAGGTTCCTGCTATGTTTGAGTTCCTGTGCTGACTTCCTTCAATGATGAACAGTGATATGGCAGTGTCAGCCAGATAAACTCTTTCCTCCCAAGTTGCTTTTAGTCATGGTGTTTCATCACAGCAACAGAAACTCTAAGACAGGTGCGAAGAGTGGGTACAGTGCTTCAGTCTTGAAATCCTGAGTACTGCCCCTGAGGGAGCAATGGTGTCTCTCTCTCTCTCTCTCTCTCTCTCTCTCTCTCTTCTCTCTCTCTCTCTTTCTCTCTCTCTCTCTCTCTCTCTCTCTCTCTCTCTCTCTCTCTCTCTCTGTGTGTGTGTGTGTGTGTGTGTGTGTGTGTAGGGGTTCAAAGGTAGGGGCAGGCAGATGGATTGCCCCTGATAAATGGCTGACATACTCTCTTTAAATTGCTTCAGCCCTCCTGGTCAGCCTGGGCAGGAATTGTGCAAATAACAGACTCCAGAAGTCTACTGGGCCTGAGGAGGCAGGACCTTGCTTAATGCTAACCTTAGCCAATACTGAGGTTATTCTGCAAGTGTCATGGCTCTTGCTTCAGCCCAGGTCTCCTCCTTCCCACCTCCCCCTGGGGTTCTGTGTTTGGGTCACACCCAGGAATAGTGCTGCCCACATCCCAAGACCTAAGTGTAGTTGAGGCTGAAGTACACTTGTGTCCATAGTTCAGGATGCTGCTGGGGGCCAGGCACGGGGCACAGCTAGCTGCTCAGCCGTGCTCCAGCTTTTCCTTGGGGAAAGCTCTAAATCATGCTGATGAGGGCGAGACTCAGAGTTGCCAGAATCAAAATAGGGTCAGAAGCTTGCCTGATTACTGACACCAGGTAGGGCTGTCCCCAGGTCTGTGTTCTAGAGAGTCAGCTAGGGGGTTCCTTACAGTCTGGCAAAGGAGGGTAACCGAGTGGGCGGAGGAGAGGCAGGGACAGCACACCACATCTGCTTAGCAGTCTGTCCCCTCTGGGTTTTTTGTTTGTTTGTTTGTTTGGTTGGTTTGGTTTATTTTTGTTGTTGTTGTTTTGAGACAGAGTTTCTTGGTGTAACAGCTCTGGCCATCCTGGAAGTTGCTCTGTAGACCAGGTTTGCCTCAAACTCAGAAAGATCTTCCTGCTTCTGTCTCCCGAATGTTGTGATTAAAGGAATGAGCCACCACCGCCCGGCCATCCCCTCTGGTTCTCCTGGCCTGGTCCTATGGGTGATGGTAAAAAGGCTCCTGTGACTAGGGTGGGGTCACATTTGGTCACATTGGAAACTGGGCTGAGTCACGAGCACTCCTGCTGCTTGGGCCTCAGCCCTGAGCAGCTAAAGCTCAGGGATGCTTCGGACAGTCTTTCCCTGCTGCAGCCTTGGCAGCTTCTGGTCGATTGCTACCCCGACTGGGTAGCATGCTAAATGGGCATGAGCAGACTATTAAGAGGATTGTCGTTGTTGGGCCTCTGCCTCAGTCCCATGTGACCCTCACCTTGGTGTACTTCTTGTCTCCCCGCTCACAGTTGCTGAGCATCTGTGCTGGGCCAGGGTCACAGGTGGCTCAGGAACTACAGGGACACTGTGGTTAAAGTCGTCCCCTGCGGGAGATGCAAACCAGAGCTACCCCTCCTCCCAAGGTCCCAATGACACACGGAGGCACAGCTCCACGAGTTCGGTCTGAAAAGCCAGTGAGTTAACTGGACCTCTTTACAGAGCGTAGGTGAGGGATTCTTACATGGGTGTGGTGCTTACATACAGCAGGTCGTAGGAAGCAGCCGGATACTCAGGTGAGGGTCTCCCAACGCTACTCACCCCTCCATGAAGGGTATAGACAACAAGCCTAGCCAGGATAATGCTTTTGCAGAGGGCTTAGTTGGTGGCTGCTGGGCTTGGTGGACAGTCATAAATAACTGCTACTCCAAGGAATCAGTCAGAGATGGCAGTCATTAGTGAGGTGACCAAATAGGGGGTGAAAATGCCCCAGGTTCACATGGAGGTTGCTCATGGGAAAGGACGTGTTGAGGGAGACCTTTAAAGCAAAGCTTTGAAGAGCAAAAAGATTCACCATCAGGAGACCATGGTGGAGCTGGCACACTATCAAATGGAGGTGGATGGAGATCAGGGTATGGATTCCTACGTGAGAGGGGCAGGCTTTGGCTCCGTCCTTTGGGCAGTGGACAGCTCCCTAACAGTGTCTAACTGCTGGCTTGTGCCTTATATACATACCGCTGTGTGCTTTGTGATAGAGCGGCTGCTGAGGTTCCAGAGCCCATACAGTCTCGGGAACAGAACAAATGTCAGCCTAAGACCAACTCTGGGGGTTCTTAAGAGAGCTGTCTGATGCCAGGACGCCAAGGAAGTACAGCTGGTACCAATCCTGTGCCCTGAGGTGATCCAGAAGCCTGCGGCAGTGTGCCTGAACTAGCTGCTCTCCTTGTCTCTGTGACAAAATACCCTAAGGAAGGAAATGTTTTTTCTGGCTCACAGTTCAAGGGGATAAACCATCATGGCAAGGAAGTTGTGTGGCAGAAGCTTGAGGTGGCTGGTGACATGGCAGCCACAGTGAGGACCAGAGAGATGAATGGATGCTGTTGCTCATGTTTCTTCGTCTGTCTGTTTGCTTTCAGTCCAGGACCCCTGCCCACATGATGGTGCTATCCACATTTAAGACAGGTCTTCCTACCTCCGCTAACCTAATAGAAACTCCCTCATAGACAAGCCCAGACATTTGTTTCCATGGTGACTGTAAATCCCACCAAGGTGACAATCCACATTAACCATCACAGTGCTGCTTGCCTTCCAGTCTGCATGACTAACTGCCCGACACTCATCATCATGGTGGGCCTGCCAGCCAGGGGCAAGACCTACATTTCTAAGAAGCTGACCCGGTACCTCAACTGGATTGGCGTCCCTACTCGGGGTGAGGCTCCAAGGGGATCATGGGGGGACTATTGAGGGAGGGGAAGAGAGAAGCCTGGGTGGTAAGGTCTCAGGGAAGAGTTCTGGGCAGGGATTGGTAGGGTTGCTGACCTGTGAAAGCTGAGTCTCTCTTCTCCCCAGAATTCAACGTTGGTCAGTATCGCCGGGACATGGTCAAGACATACAAATCTTTTGAGTTTTTCCTCCCAAACAATGAAGAGGGCCTGAAAATCAGGAAGTAAGTGTGGTGAGGGGGGGGGGGCCGCGGGGGGACATTGCTGTAGAGAAGGCTTGCTAAGCTACAACCCATTTGCTAAGAAGCAGCCTCTCTCTCAAATTCTGAATGCTTAAACTTCTCCTGAGCTGCAGTAACACTCAGTGCAGTGACTGACAGGGCTGCCATGATGCCATGTGACAGGGCCTGGAACCACAAAGATCAGCCTGCTGCCATCTCTGGAGTACTAGGATTAAAATGTGTGCCCCCATGGCCAGCTCTAGGTCTGGCTTTAACCTCTCAGGTTGTAGAAAGGTTGGCTTATAATGGGTTTAGGGTGTCGCCTCCTGATGGCTGTCTCTTCCCTTCCCCAGTGTTAATGACCTTTGGTAAGGACATTCTGTGGGAAGGAAGGATGGAGCTTCAGGGAGACGACAGACGTACCCAGGTCATGTCAGGGACCATCGCATGGCATGGAGGCCCTGCCTGTCTACTCCAGGCTACCCTAGAAGATGCAGGCACAGGATAGGTACTCTTACAAGTACTGGAGTATGTTTGCCCTGTGCTTGGCATGTTCTTGGCATGTACCAGCTAGGCCTTGGTTTTAGTTTAACATGGTTTAGATGCTGTGGAATAAGTAGTTGACACTCATGAGACAGAAATTTGCATGTGATCTCTGTCCCCCTCTCAATTCAGACGTAACTTTTTGAGGAGTGATGACATGCCCTTCTTGGAAGGTACTGGTGGGATGCTCGTGAAGCCCTGTCCTGCCAGGCATGGCTTTGCACACCTTTGATCCCATTACTTGGGAGACAGATGCAGACAGATCTCTCTGAGTTCAGGGACACCCTGTTCTGTATAGTGAGTTCCAGGTAGCCAGGGCTACATAGTGAGACCTGTCTCTAAATAACAACAGAAATAAATCTTGTTCTATCTTCATGTCTGCTGCTGTGGTAAGACACTAGAGACAGAAACACCCAAGAGAAAGCTTAGGGGAGAAAGGTGTGTTTGGTTTACCGTTCCAGATTACAGTCCACTGAGAGAGGTCAAGGCAGGACTCCAGGACAGCTGGCCACATCTACAGCTCAAAACAGAGAGGTGATAAGTCTGCGCATGCCTGCCTGCCCAGCCTTGTTTTTCACTCTTTTTTTGTTTTGCTTTTTTTTTTGTTGTTGTTGTTGTTTTTTTGTTTTTTTTTTTTGAGACAGGGTTTCTCTGTGTAGCCCTGGCTGTCCTGGAACTCACTCTGTAGACCAGGCTGACCTCAAACTCAGAAATCCACCTGCCTCTGCCTCCCAAGTGCTGGGATTAAAGGCATGTGCCACCACCGCCCGGCTCTGTTTTACACTCTTAAATACTGTTCAGGGACCATGTCACCACAGGGTATCACCCACATCTTCAAGGGGGGTTTTCCCACTTCAGTTAACCTAATTTTTTTTTTTTTTTAAATCGAGGGCTGGAGAGATGGCTCAGTGGTTAAGAACACTGCTCTACCACAGGACCCAGGTTCAATTCCCAGCACCCACGTGGCAGCTCCTAACTGCCTGTAACTCCAGTTCCAGGGGACCTGACATCCTCACACAGACAAAATGCAGACAAAAAACACCAGTGCATATAAAAATAAATAAATCTTAAAAAAAAGGTCTGTCCTGGAGACTTTCTCCAGGTGATTCTAAGACTGCACCAACTTGACAGTTACTAACCACCACAGGCCCCTGTCAGCTAAGGGGCCGCAGACTTGCCTCTGCCATCTTAGTAGGACAGTAGTAGTGACTTCCTCAAATCAAGCCCAGCCTCTGGACTTGGAGCTGCCACCAGGGTACTAGGCTACCTATTCTCTCTATGGCCACCAGGGGAAGAAGGCAAGAGAGTCAGGTTCAAGGTTGGCATAGTTTAAGGCCAGCTTGGGCAGCCTGAGACCATGTCTGAAAAGACCAAAACCCAATCAATTAAACAAACAAAACAACAACAAAAACTTCCCAGTCATCCACTCACTCAGATATCTATCTCATGGCTAGTAAGTCAAAGGACATCTCAGGTGCAAAATCTAAAGCATTGCCAAGGTGCAGGCCCCATTTGCTCAGTGGTGGTGTCTTCCCAGATGTGGAGTCTGAGCTTAGGCAGGGATAGCATTGTTTGGGGGCCATTCAGTCTGAACTGGAGGACTGGCATGTGTGAATGTAGAGTTTGTGGTGTTGGCATCCCCAGCCTGCCAGCTGTTTCCTCTGGGGAATAATTGAAATGGAGAAACCCAGACAGAGAGGTGGGAGGAGCTATCCCAAGATCACCTGCTGGGATGGACATCCTGTTGTTTTTGTTCTACACCTAAAGCCAGAATCTAGCCACTGGGCCACATGGCCAGTTTCCAGGGACCACCCTGATTTTTCCTCTAAGTAATTGGAAAAAGAAAAGGACCAGAAGTAGTTTTTATTTTGTTCTCTTTTTGTTTTGTTATTGTTTGCAGTACTGGGGGATTGAACCCTGACCTTGTTGATGATAGATTGGCTGCACCCCCAGCCCAGGCAGAAGGAATTTTTGTTTTGTTTTGAGATGGATATCACAATGGAGCTCAGGCTGGCCTTGAACTTGCTACATAGCTGTGAATGACTTTGAACATCTGATTCTCTTGTCTCCACCTTCCAAGCACTGAGATTACAGACATTTGCCACTGTGTGTGGTGGGACCAGAAGTCTTAAAAATGGGAAGCCTGAGAAGAAAGGGCTACTTTCCTAGCTACACACCCATTGCTGAGGTCTCAAAAGCTATTTAACGTACAAGACCACTCAAGACAAAGGTGTAAACAAGTATGTGCTGGTTCTTCTATGCAGCTATGCAGGCACATGCACACACATCCCATCATCTTATATGCAGCTATACAGGCACATGCACACGTATTCCACGAGGCACATTTCTATTGCGTTTTCATACCGTACATGAGCTCTCTGTGTATACCATGGACACATAACCTCACGTGAATACTTAACATGCACATATCTACATACACACAAGTCTACATACCATGTGTGCACATGGGTGTGTTCATATACATACACAACCCCTGCACACAAATAGCCACACTGTCTCTGAGAGTGGGCTCACTTTTGAGTGTGTGTTATTGAGTCGTACACATGTGCTCAGCCTTTGCTTACATCTGCATACCAAGCACACTTGGACCCTAAGAATACCTTCAGGTTTGTCAGTTTCCCAGGACTCATGGCTAAGGTGCATTGCTGCAAACTGACAGAAAGGAAAAGCACATGGAACCAGCATGTGAGCGGTCTCCTTGGAGTCCCACAGGATATCCTCAGTTCCTCCAGCAAGAGTCCAGGAGCCCTCACACACACCGCCAGACTCACAAGGCCATACATGGGCACAGTACGTCCGTACAGACCTGCCCACGCACGGACACGCAAGCGCAAGTGTAACTGTACACTCACACAGGAGTGTGCACACAGGCCCCCAAGATGTTCTCCTGGTGTTTCCTCTGAAGCCCTGGGATTCCTCCTCCCTCACAGCAGATCCATAATCAGCACAGCTCACAGAGATTAGCCCAGAACACGCTGATCTGCAGGCAGGTAGTAAAGTGAGCCGGCAATGCTAGTTTCTAGACTCAGAATTCAGACTTTTTGGCAAAGGGAAACTTTCTTTAAAAACTTTTCTTTTACTCTTTATTTAACATGGGTGAGTGTTGTGACCTCAGGTAGGTCTGTGCACCACATGCATGCCTGGTGTCCTCTGAGGTCAGCAGCTCCAGAAGAGGGTGCTGGATTCCCTGAACTGGAGTTATAATGGGTTTGAGTTGCCATGTGGGTGCTGGAATAGAACCTGGATCCTCTGAAAAAACAGCCAATGCTCTTAACCACTGAGCCATCATGCTAGCTCCTTAAAAACATTCTTTTAGAGATTAAATTTTTCTTTCATTTTATTTTTTTTGTGTCAGTTTCTGCATGTGTGTATCTGTATGCCACGCCCTCAGAAACCAGAAGAGGGCGCCAGAATCCACAGAATTGGTTGTTGGTGCTGGGATTTGAACTTGGTTCTCTGGAACAGTAGCCAGTGTTCTAAACCACTGAGCCATTTCTCTAGCCCCCTAAAGATTTCCTTTAATGCCTGCCTGTCTGTCTGTCTGTCTGTCTGTCTGTCTGTCTGTCTGTGTCTGTTTATTTTGGTTTTTCAAGACAGGATTTCTCTGTGTAACAGCCATGACTTTGTAGACCAATTAGCAGAGATCCCAAGTGCAGGGATTAAAGGCATGTGCCACCATACCCTGGCTTTCTTTTAATTTTTAAATATGTGTGTGTGTGTGTACATGTCACATACATACAAGTACCACAGAAACCAGAAGAGGCATGGTATCCTCTGGCCTTAGAGTTGCTTACTTTTGCATGTCTGATGGGTGCTGGGAGCTGAACTCATGTCCTCTAAGAACTCAACAATTTCCGTGAACCATTGAGCCCTCTCTGCAACTCCCAGAGGGAAGCTCTTTGCAGCTTTAATTGAAAACCCTGCAGAGCACAGAGGATCACTAGGAGGCACGAGGACACAGCTACCTAGTGGACCTGGCTCCACAGTGACGTCCATGGAGTATAGTCCTTTGACATTGACACACAGGGTGGGGTGGGTGGGGTTACATGCACTTCCTGAGATCACAGATGGGAGATCTAGCACTATTCTCTGTCAGTAAGTAAGGAGCAGGTGGCAGGGCTTGCCTGGAGTGGGCGATGCCCTGGGTTCCCTCTCTAGCATTGCTTGTTTTAAAAAGGGAGGATGTCATAGACAGAAAGTAAAAGTATAGCCCTTGGAAGGCAGAGGCAGGTGGAGCTCTGTGAGTTCAAGGCTAGCCTGGTCTGTGAAGCGAGCTCTAGGCCATGCAGTGCTGTGTAGTGAAACCTGCTTCAAGCAAAACAAAGTAAAGGTAGCTTTATTTCTCCAGACCTTTAGGAGAAGTGGATGAAGTGGGAAAGGCCTGTATGAGTGGCGGTCATTTTATAGCAAGTGAGGCATCTGAGTGTATTGTTTGTTGTACATGATCATCCAGGGTCAGAGCTGAATGGACACATTGCTGTGCTAGAGTTAGAGAGGCTGGCACCCTGCTCCATCAGGGGGTGGCTTGTGGAGTTCTCTCTTCCAGGACATATGCAGTCATTGTGTCCTTCCTGACTGCCCTCGGCCCGGCACATAGAATATCTGATTGGAACGCATTTATCCTGGGGTTGGAGAAATGGTTCCAAGGTTAAGAATACTGTCTGTTCTTGCAGAGAACCTGGGTTCAAGTCCCAGCACCCACATAGTGGTTCACAGCCACCTGTAACTCCAGTTCTGGGGGATCCAACACCCTCTTTTGACCTCTGAGGGTACCAGGCACACACACATGGTGTACATCATGAAGGCAAAACACTCATATACATAAAATAAAATAAATAAGCCAAACATCAATTAATTAATTCCTGAAAAGCACTTATCTTGGTAATCATAGGCCACACATGACATTTAGGAGTCATGAACATGGCAGAGTGACAGCTGGTCCCGATAAGACATAAAGGAAAGCAGTGTTCAGAAAACCTGATAGTCTCACATCAGATGAGAGCCACAAGCTGACGGGTGAAAAGGGAGGCGACCTGAGGGCTGTCCACTCCCCTGTACGTGGTAGGGTTAAAGGCCTGATGCTAGGCTCACTCTGTGTTTTCTCTCCTGAAGGCAGTGTGCCTTGGCAGCCCTCAGTGATGTCCGGAAGTTCCTCAGTGAGGAGGGGGGACATGTGGCGGTAAGTGTGACACCTTAGTAACAGCCAAGAGTGAGACATAGGATTCCCCCGCCTACCACTATCCATCATTTGCTCATCAGGCACCCGGAAGGGAAGCAGGATGGGATGGGTGTGCCCCTGCATGCCTGAGGGTGCCCGGCCAAGGAGAAGCATGAAGAAGGAAGTGTCTGGGCCTGCCGTTTTCCCCTGCGCTTGTAGCTACATTTAACTCTGCAGTCCTTCCTTCTAGAAGTCAGCACTGGCAGTAGTATACCTCAGTCTTCCACACACATAACTTCTGGTTTAGGAGCCCTGCCCATATTGCTTACCATCCCAGAAAGCAGCTGAGGCCAGGCGAGGGAATTCTACCAGAATGATGACCCCTGCAGTCAGATGAAGTGTGGGACCAGGGAGAGCTGGGGTATCTGTGAGGAAAGGCTCTCCCGGCCCTGTGCATCGAGTCCCTACCACTTTCCCCTTGGAACTCTCTGACCCTGGCTCCAGCCTGTACCCATTGCCTGTGGCACAGCCATCACTGTGTGGATGGCCTTCTCCTCTGTCCTGGGGAAAGCCCCTGTCCTGTAACACAGGCCCCTTCTCTTTGCTTTGCTGACCTGTTTGTTTTACTGAAGTGACTCCCACAGATACATTTCTTCAGTTAAGTGGCTGGAGGTGTAGCTCAGAGTGCTGCCTAGCAGGCATGGAATCTGGGATTTGCCCTCCAGCACGGAATAAACTGAGCATGGTTTTGCATGCCTGTAGTTTCTACTACAGAGATAGACAGGAGAACCGGAGCATCCGTGGCTGTATAAGGAGCTGTCGGCCAGCCTGGGATGCCTGAGAGCCATGTCTAAACAGCAGAAAGGTGCTTGGGAAATACTTAGGGTGGGGCCTTTCCTACCAGAAATGTCCTGTTGCTTGTTTGATTTTTTAGTTGGTTGTTTGGTTGATTAAAAACCAGAAACAACAACAGCAAAAAAAAAACAAAAAACAAAAAACAAAAACAGGGTTTTTCTATGTAGCCGTGGCTGTCCTGGAACTCACTACAGAGACTAGACTGGCTTGTAACTCAGAGAGATCTGCCTGCCTGTGCCTCCAAAGTGCTGGAATTAAAGGGGTATGCCCTCATGCCTGGCTTATATTTTATAGACCAGGCTGATCTGCCTGCCTCTGCCTCCCAATTGCTGGGATAAAAGTTGTGTACCACCACCACCAGGCAACATTTCTCTCTTCTGTGCATGTGTGTGCGAGTGTGCCACAGCACAGGTCCAGGGGTCAGAGAGTGTGGGACTGCGTAAGGGTATCCTGGATCATGGTGGAACAGGTGCCTAGAACCCCGAGACTCTGTAGATTCTAGGTGGGATTCTACATGAGAACCGGCAGGAGTTCGGTGCCCCCCAGAACCCAGGATCCTGAAAAAGCAGTCACGGTCTCTATAGAATTACATAAGCCAGGCTATAGGCCTCAGGCTCTAGGGATTTACATACTAATGAAGGCCAGAGGGCAGAGCAAATTAAACATGCCTCCCCCCCAGATCCTCCCCCAATTCTCCCCCTTTCTCCCTCCCTATATGACTCGGGACTGCCTTTTAAAGGCCGCCACAGTTGTGGCCCTGGAGGGGCTTCCACTGCTGTGGCGGGTCCCACATGGGGGGGGGCGGACTCTATAGTTCCATCGGCCTGGAGGCCTTGGCGATGGCAGGCCCCAGTAACACGAGGAAGTCCTTGGTTCCAAAAAGGTTTATTGTCATGGCAGGTAATAGATGGATCTAGGCGTACCCCCAAAAACTCAGGGCAGTCCCAGCAACTTACAGGAGTTGGTATTCCTTCTAACATGTTGATTGTTTGGTTGGTTAGCTGTTGAGTCTTCTGGCTTGGCTATTCTCTCTCTGTGTGTCTCTCTTTCTCTGTCTCTCTCTAAATGTAATGAGAAATATATAGAAAAGAGTTGTTGTTGTGGGGGTAGCACATACTTGTAATCTCAGCACTTGAGAAACATAGGCAGGGGGATTGCTGCAAGTTTGAGGCCAGTCTAGTCTACATATTAAGTTCAAAACCAGCCTGGACTGTATAGTGAGATCCTGTCTCAGCCCCTCACAAAAGAGGTTTAGCTCACAGTTTGAGGCTAAAGGTTCCAGATTGGGCACCTCCCCAACCCTAAGCCTTTGTTAAGGATCTAAACAGCATCACGGCAGAGCCACTGAGGGATAGGAAACACAGAGCTGGGCAGGCCAGACTTGCATCTCTTTTGGGAGAACTTGAACATGAACCTCAGGAGAACAACCACATCCAAATCACAGCACCAGGATTAGCTGGTTTTGCTAGATTTCTCTGGTCATGCACATGAATTGAATGGCTGCTGTGTGCAGAGCTCTGCTGGGCGCATTCCTCTGTGTGAGTCTGCGGGGAGACAGGCCTGACTTGGCCTGGGCAGCAGGTATCCTGGCAAGAAGCCCAGTCCCCAGAGAATGCCTGGGCTGCAGCCCTGGGCGGACTTTACTTCCCTAGGGCCAGAGTCCTGAACTCACCCCAGTTTGGTCCTAGGTTTTTGATGCAACCAATACCACCCGAGAACGGAGAGTGATGATCCTTAACTTTGGAGAACAGAACGGCTACAAGGTGAGCTCTTCTGGGCACCCCTTCTTAGCTGAGTTGTTGCATATCTAGAGATCTTCTGGGCACCCCTTCTTAGCTGAGTTGTTATATATCTGGATGCTCTGAGACTCCCTTAGCAGCCTCCTGGTGTTCGTGAGCATTGGGCATTGGGTGGCTGAGTGACGTGAGAGGGAGGTGTAGTCCTCTCCTCCTGGAACTTGCTTTATAGGGCTGTAGTGGGAGAGCCCAGGATACAGTGACACCTCCTTTAGCTACAAGATGCCCAAGCTAGGTCAGCATGGCCGTGGGTGGACAGGGAGACCTGGGAGGAAACGCAGATCCCTAACCATGTCTGTGGTCCTGTCCCTGCCCTCCCTGCTTCCGTCCTTGGTGTAGACCTTCTTTGTGGAGTCTATCTGTGTGGATCCTGAGGTCATTGCTGCTAACATTGTGGTGAGCGGTACATCTGATTTCCTTGGGGACAGTAATGAGACAGGTGCCCTGTGACAGTGAGATCCCTTTCCCGGTTTGGGCTGATACTTGGGCTGACCTTCAGTGATCTCAAATTTTGTGGGAATGGGGTGGGGAGGTAGGTGAGCCTGGATTCCTGGGGACCAGTTGTGCAGAGGGCTGTGTACCTCACGGGCCTTCATTCCAGCTCCTTTCCATTCTTGTTCTCCCTTCCCCTCCCCCCCAGTCCCTGGACAGCACAGAGGGGCCTCAGCCAGGGTGGGCTGGGTTTCTATGTAAGACTCAGGTTTGTTTCCCACTCGTAGTCTGTACTCCTTGTTGATCTAGAATGGCCATGTAGGTTTGAAAGATAATTCAAGGGAAAGAGCCCTAGGCTTTCCCTGAGCCACAGGGTGAAAGGCTAACCCAGACTAGAGAGCTTCAGGAAGGTTCCGGTGGGAGCAGTCTCCAGCTAGGCTCCAGCCTCAGGCCCCCAGCCCTGGCCTGGCCTCTGGCCCCACCTCTTTTACCCCCCCCCCCCCCCCCCCCCCCGCCTATCTGTGCTCTTGCTTTTTTGCTCTGCCTGGACTCTATCCCTGATGGCTTCTTGCTTTGTGTCTGGCTCTTGACAGCAAGTGAAGCTGGGCAGCCCTGACTACGTCAACCGGGACAGCGACGAGGCCACTGAAGACTTCATGAGGCGCATTGAGTGCTATGAAAACTCCTATGAGTCGCTGGATGAAGACCTGGACAGGTGGGTAAGAGAGCCCATGGCCTGCAGAGGCCGTGAGCAGGTGGGGGAATCCACTTGGCCACCTCAGTGTGGCTCCTGTGGTGGTCACCTAAGGGTGGAAGCACTCCAGAAGGCCAGTGTGGTCTGACCTCTTTTGTTTCTTTCCTTGGGGCAGAAGTTGTTGGCCAAAGGTGACTTACAGAGTACCTCTTACCTCCTCCTGTGGAGCTCTCTGGGCAGGACTTTGTCCTGTCCCACCATAAAATCAAACCTAATTTCTATGCAGGAGGCCTTTCTAAAAGGCGTTTGCAAACACTTCGCACACTTCTCTCATTGCGCACTTGCGGAAGTGGACGGCAGTGGGAGCTAGCCAGAGCTTGTATGAGCAGCAGTCAGTGGCCAGTGCGTGTCAGGTCCATCTGCCTCCCTCTGGGACAGAACAGCAAGCAGGAGTGGCCAGTGACCTTCAGCTCTAAAGTGGGTGCCCAGCTGAGGGTCTTGCGCCTGGGATTGGCAATGGCTCCAGCCAACAGACCAGTTAATGAATGGTTTATGTAGGGTTTGGAACCCTGCTGCCGTTACTGACTGTGCCATTGTGCTGCAAAAGAAACTGTAAATAAATGGCCATGGGTGTGTTCTACTAAAACTTTATAGAAAACAGCCTGTGGGCGACATCTGAGTTGGTGGTGGTAATGTGCCTCTTGGCCTAAGTATAACCAGCAGCAGTGAAGTAAGTAGCAGTGAGGCCATGGTGAAGTCTTAGTCACTATAAATCATAATTATAGAAAGACGTGGGAGCGTAGGTCACACAGCATTAAGTGAAAGGCTGGAATATAAATATGTGTTTGGGTGTTTATAATTATATAAGAATATATAATGCATATGAACCAAGGAGCACAAGCAGCTGCTAGAGGGACGGCTTCCAGGTACTCATAGAATAGTGGTGCCTGTGCTGACCACGGGCTGACACATCTCTTCCCTCTGCTGGGCTCTGCAGCCAGACTGGAGCTGAGTGGCACTTAGGCCTCTCCCTGTGTGGCTTTGTTATTCCCCCTGGTCTCCCCAGCATCGCCTCTTGTCATTCTGCAGGGCTACTGCACTAGTGGGGTTCATCCTGAACTGTCCCGGTTAGACCTGTCAGCAAACCTTGCTCCTGGTTTTATTGGTAGTGTAAAGGTAACAAGCATACAGACAGGGAGAACTCACATGAGAATATCCGGGGAGCTCTCAGCTGTTTCACTGCCTGTTCCTGGCACTGCCAAGTCACAGCCCGTTCCCAGCACTGCTAAGTCACCCCTCCCCACCGCTGCCGACAGAAGTGTGCTCTAAGCAGAAGCATCTTCCAGGTACAAAGTGGAGAGAGTGGCCAGCACAGTCCTCCTGTGTTTCTTGGCCACTGGATGTCTGATGAGGGTGGCAGCTCCTTGGCACATAGATGGCCCTGACTGTGTGGCTGGAGGAGAGGGTCTCTGGGGGAAGGGAAGCTGCCCAGGAACTTTGGGAGATACAGTGTTTGCCAGCTACTATCAGGTGGGCAGCCGTAAGAACAGCTGTCTCTGGTTCAGCTTACCAAGCACAGAGGGAGGAAAGAAGGGGTCTGGGAACACACATGCAGCAGTAAAATCATGACATGACGTCACTGACCACTGCTCTAGTTGTCCCCTTTAGCATGTCGAGTGTTGACCCCCCCATCACAGTGCGTGTATGTGTGTCACTGTGGTGTGTCACAGCTGCCTCATCCCGTCACTTGCACACCAGCTGACGGTCCTGTGTATTGTGATCTCAGATCCAGTGGGCAGAGTTGCGGGCTTTACAGCTGGTTCCTGTGGCTGCCGGTGTGCTTCCAAGGGCCTGGCCACCCTCACAGGCTCTCTCTACCTTCTCTCTGGCAAGGGATCTGTCCTACATCAAGATCATGGACGTGGGGCAGAGCTATGTGGTGAACCGTGTCGCTGACCACATCCAGAGCCGGATTGTTTATTACCTCATGAACATCCATGTGACACCCCGCTCCATCTACCTCTGCCGGCATGGGGAGAGTGAGCTCAACCTCAAGGGCCGGATTGGTGGGGATCCTGGACTGTCTCCCCGGGGCCGGGAGGTCAGTGTGTGTGTGTGTGTGTGATATTCGTGCACAAATGTGCGTGCATCTGTGCATTGGCACCTTCGGGTGGCGGGATGGATATGGGGCCTTCTATAACCAATGCACAGTTGAGGTGGACAGTTGTTATCCAGTGTGAAATGTAGGGAAGGGGATGAGGCATTGAGCAAATGCACATGAGCGGTTTCCTGGCAGGATCACCCTTCCCTTAGAGGATCACCCTTCCCTTAGAGGATCACACTTCCCTTAGAGGATCACACTTCCCTTAGAGG